GTGCAGTTCCTACTGATCATGAGGCCTCTGAAGCTGCGCTCCAGTGGTGGGCACCCAGCATGGTCCTGGGCCTTGAAACTTTAGCCCCCATTTTCTTCCTTGCTGTACAGGACAGAGTTCAGATCTATAGAAAGGGCCCTTCCAGCTCCCCCAGTGCTCCCCAAGCAAACTGTCTCCTGATCCTGCCCTGATGACCCCTCCTGGGGGAAGTCCTTCAGGCACCCTAACCTTAATATGTCCAAGACTTTTCGTGATCTTTACCCCACACTGATGGCACCTTCTCTTTAGGCATCCTCTGGAGAGAAGGACAGAGTGGGCGAGTGGGGCTTGGGCAGCTGCCTGGGATGCCGAGCCGGCGCTATTCAGCACTATACGGCATTCTGTACAGCGCTCCCTGAGATACTCTTGACAGAGTGCAATGGCTGTAAAACAGTCTTTATTTCCTTTTTGTTTTCTGTACTGATGCTGGAATGATCTTTGACCTCATTACATCCCTCTGTGGCTGCCACCACCTGCAGAGTGGGAAAGAGTCTCCACATGTGTCCACCATCCCAGCTGCCCCTCCATGGCAGCCCCTCTCCTGGGGCCACTGGATGCCCATGCATGCCCATTCTCTCCCTCCTGTCCCAGCTTCTGATCCATCTCAGCTCCTTTCAGTGTCCTAGCTTTTCCCTGCCCTGCCTATGCCTTTGCCTCTGGAGAGGCAAAAGTCTCTCTTCCTGGAGACTGTGGTCTCTTTCTTTGTTCTCTATATTCAAACCCCTGCTCATCTCTGAAGAGGCAGCTCCTCACCAACGCTCTCCATGAAACCTCTCAGTGCTCCTTGTGATTGATCACTTCTTCCCCCACTCTCTTTCTGTACTGAATATTTATCAACCACAGGCCAGAATACTGTGTTGGACCTATTTGTTTACACTTGCCTTTTCAGCTAGGCAGGGAGCTCTAGGGGGAAGAGATCCCGTGTGGTTCATTTTAAAATTCCTAGCTTGTAAAACAGGAGTTGGCATACATGCCTATGTCCACAAAAAGGGCAAGGGAGGGTGTGCATGAATGAATGTGAGTGTGCTCTTAAAGTGTAAGTGGATATACAACTGTGAGACATTCCAGCTCCCAGAGTATTTCAGTGTAATATGTGACAGGTGATCACTTTCTGGAAAATATGGAGGGATTGGAAAAATAGAAAAAGACTCTTTCTCAAAAACGAAACCTAAAAATAAAAATCAGGGTTTGGAATGTGGACATGCTAGCAACAGGAACTACACCAAAAAGAGTCAACCCTAGAACCTCTCGGGTGAACTTCAAAATATGAGCAAGAAGGCTTAGAAGCAGAAGCTCCCTTGTGGTATTTCTGTGCTAGGACCATCTATAGTCCAGAGAGTGAGAGGGTAGAAAGACCGCCCAGCACCAACAGACAGTATGGCTGTAAATGGCTGGCTCTCTTCTATTCTGCTTTAGCTTTATGGTCATGCTAGCAGGTCGTAACACTTTAAATGTGGTTCAAGGGAAGAATAGGAGATAGAAGGGCAATTAACTAAATTATTTGGGACATTTTATGGAAATACCATAAACTATCAAGGGCGCTGAATCTGCCTGCTACCCTAGTAATCTTTCTAAAACTTTTCAGCATCCTTTATTACCTAACTAGGGCTTCTGAAGCTGTTATGGGGAGGCACCATGTGGGCGTGTATGTGGCTGTTTTCTTCTACCCTATCCTACACGTATGATTTATGAATATAGTAGCAAAATGAATGATTAGAAAAATTGAACAGAAAAGATTAAGACATGCCTCTCTCTTATTGCTAGACTGAGCAGTTAGTCATTTGTTCTGTTGAACTATTACAAAAGTTTCTGTATTTATCTCATTGCGAATCAAAAACACCCACTTAGACTCTATGTGGCTATCTTCATAAAAGAATGTACCAGCAGTGAAAGTTTAAAAAGAGAACACTCACGTACAGATTCTATAATAGTGAAAATATTCAGGGCATAAACTAATTAGAAAACAAATACTTTAAAGGAAATCTGCCATCACAAAATGGAAAATTATTTGAACGGTAAAAAGCTCTTCCATGTGTATCTCCCGGTTCTCTCCCGGAGGTAGAAGGAGTTCTTTGATCCTCTTAGACAATAATCACTTGTGTTGCACAAGTTTTAAATTGATCCTTCATTGCTAACAGTAGGGGAGCCAACATCCAGCCAATGGCATTAATAAGCGGCATGACAGGCTCTAATAAATTTCATCAGGATCCCAACTCTGTCATTTGGAGCACAGAATGAACTATTATTACCACAGAGCTTCAAACCTCTCATTTTGGCTCCAGATGATTACAGCTGCTAGTGCAGCCCTTGCTGAAGTAGTTTTTAGTAACTGGTTCAGGGTTAAAGTATCATATTTAAAAGACTTAATTATGATCAATGTGGGGAACCAGTTGTGGCCATAGGGCTTTGATGTGTTTCTAGAGTGTCCGACAAAAATGTGAACTCCTAATGATCTATTTTCTCAACAATTTCAGAAAACAAGCAGCTCTTAAAATCCAGTGTCTCTACATGGACCCTGGGGGTTTTGAAACCCTTTCAATTGGAGATGGGCCATTATTTGTTGGAAACTAGCCACAGTTCTTTGTCTCTCACCCCAGATGAAATTTTTCCAGCCCCTTAACTAAACCTTTCTTTCACATGAAGAATGTAGTGTCAGGTTTCTGTCAGCAAGCAAGCTTCATAGTCAGAGTGAGGAAAAAGGTTGTTCATTCTCTCTTTAGAGCCTCTGGAACCAGCCCGGTGAATCTGGCCCCTGTATTCATCTCAGTCCCACTTCTCACCCCACTCCATTGGTGGGGTCATGCCAATCCACATTCTCTGGTTTTCTTGTCTTGCTTTTGCATGCCATGTGTTCTATTTAAAAGTCCAGCCAACTATTAAGCTATTATCAAATGTAATCATCCAGTGAGAATTCAGTTTCAGTCTATTGCTTTGTACCATGTGAGCCATTTAACCAAGGCGTGGACAGATACTGTTAATTTGGTGAAGAATTGCAGGTTTGTGGTTTGTTATTGGTGTCAGTGTTGTTTTTGTTTGGGGAATTTATTTTGTTTTATTTTGGCTTTTTTTTTTCTTGTGGCACTAACAAATCCAAGACCCTCATTTCAAGCTACATCCCTAACCCTTTTATTTATTTATTCACTTTTTTTTTTTCATTTTGAGACACGTTCTCACTAAATTTTAGCTAAGTTGCCCAGACTGTAAGGTGCAGGTTTTAGAAGTTGATCAGAACAGACCTTTAGGGCCAGTGAGATAGCTCAACAGACCAAGCACCTGCATAGGCAAGCGCAGGGACCTGGTTTTGATCCCCAGAACCGCATGCTGGGCGGCCCCGCCTTCAGGCCCCCAGCCCCAAGGTAGGGGGGGATTGCAGAGACGGCGCATATGGTCCACACCTGCAATCCCAGTGCTGGGAAGGCGAAAGCAGGACGGAAAATGAGTCGACGCTGCGTAGTGAGACTGTACCAAATACATTCATTAGCTTCCCTGGCGGGGCATTTACTCTCGGTGCTCTCATGCACTTAGCCTCCTGGTGATTGTTCCATTCCTGACAGAAGGAAAGCGTGGGCCATCGGAGGTTTTCTAATTTGTTATTGAGATGATCACTTTCTTAAAAGAGAAAAACTGTTACCAAGAAAGCTCACTTGAAAAAAAGTTGATCGACACTGACACATGCATGGTAATGATTTTCGTCTTAAAGAACTAAAACAATAACTTACTTTGCTACCAACTGTGGATGTGCTTTTTAAGAAAGTCAGTGAAGAACCCATTGCCTTTAACTGAAAGACCAAAGAGCCTGAGAGAATGAACGCGAATGGTGGAAAGCTCTAAGAAACAACTAGTTAGTGGTCTCATCTCTCAGAATCAGGGGGCCTGCCGGTTAGCACCGCGGTTCGATTCCCCAGCTCCTCCTGCTTTACCAGTCCTGCCCTTCAGGCAACCCGAACCATAAAAAAAAAAAATCCTTCTCAATCCTTCTCAAGTCTCAGCTTCTCCTTCCACTGGTTGGGCCTGAAGGCCAGTGCCAAGGGACCGTGGCGCGGCGCTCGTGGTGCGGTGGCTTCCACGCGGCTGCCTCCTCCGCGCGCCGCAGGTCCCACGTTGTGCTTGGTGGGAAGCCATGCAGCATCATTCCAGCCCAGAGCAGGGAACTGTATTTATTTTTCATTTTACGTTGTTTCAGCTGTTTCCCCTTTCTTCCGACTGTTTTCTTGCCTCCTACAGAGTTCTTTTTCAAGCATTGCTGGGGAAAGGGGAACACTCAGTCATGAACTCTTCTGCCCACAAGGGGCGAAAACAGCTCTCCCCCTTCTCAGCGGGTGGGACAGCTTCTTAGCCAGGTCGGGTGAATCCAGTGTGGGTCTGAATTTGTGTGGAAACAGTTTCTATGTTAAAACATATACAGGCCTGTCAGAGTTTTCCTCTGGTTTATTAATCTCTCCTATCTCACAGAATAAGATAATTATGTTCTTAGTTTTTAATACTGTGTAATAAGTTAGTATTTGAAGGAGAATTTGGTTCTATACTTTAACAACTGATATCTTTATGACTTAAAGGTTATGTTTAAACTACTACACTTCAGAAATATGGTTTCTGGCTTTCAACTATATAAATTTTGTAATCACTTTCATGACATAAATCAGTGAAGGGAACAGGAGATTAGGTGATACCGAACCTTTGGTGTTACCAGTAACTGTTACTAAACTTCAGGGGAGTTGTCATACAGTTGAGGGGTAGATGCCCATGTGTTCACGTTCTTCCCCTTCGGTAAAGCTCCACGTTCTATAAATAGGTGAAGTACTATCATCATTAATGAAATAGCAGCTCTACATCCTCACGGTTAATGAGCGCAGCAGCTTCGTAATTACTTGAGACAGATATGAATGATTCATCTTGCATAATTAAAGGTGACTCGGAAAAGGTCAGGCGTGTTGAAGGAGTCTTTCTCTTTAATTTCACAGGATTACCTGGACTGTATCAGGGACCAGACAAAACTTCCCCTGGGAACTGAAGATCGAGCTGCCCTTTTTGGAAACATACAAGATATCTACCACTTCAATAGGTAAGTTGATACTGGAAAGGTTCTCACACGGGAACTTTATGAATTTTTCTCAGATGCAGCCTAGTAAAACTTCACCTATCACCCCAATAAAGCTCTCTACATTGTTATGGGCCACTATGTGATGGGGTTTTCTGGCTAGAAGCATCCCTGTTTCTTAAGTGATTATTACAGATATGCAAATTCTATCCCTGTCCATGTTTGTCTTGGGAGAGCACTGATGTTTGTTTTCCTCAGGAGGATGTGAGTAGGGCGTCGAAAAACACACCTTTGCCTGGCCTCCAGTGTCCTCATGCACTGGACTTTCTTAATGTGCAATAAATCCTTTAAATTATAACATAGATTTTAATTATATTTAATAATCATTTCAAATAATCAAATTCAAACATGTATTAGGTAGGTAGCAGATATTGTTACTCTGGTATAAGAAATGAAAGTATAAATAAGGACCAAAGTGTAATTTGAAAGAGGAAGAAAATGCTTAAATGAGAAGGGAACAAGAGAGAGTACAGGGGAAAGCAAAGAAGGGAAAGGTTTTTAAAAAATGAGAAAAGAAGGAAAATATGGAAACAAAGCTTTGTAAATGGAGAGGAGAGCAGGGGATGAAGGGAGGGGAGGCAAACCCGGGAAAATACAAGGTTTTTTGTAGCCTTTGGATAATATCATTAAAATGGATTTTTTTGGTTGTTGTTTTAAAAAAAAAAAAGCCAAATAGACATGGTGGTGTTTAATAGGAATCGTAATAATCCAATATTTTACATGTTGCTATAGTTATGCTTAATGCATTTGTGGGAAATAAAGAAATGTTTTCTGGAAAAGTATCAGACGACAGGTATCAGGCTAGAGAATGACACTTGGAAACAAGACAGGGAGATAAACAAGGTTGGAGCAAGCTATGTTGCGAAGCCGCTGGAAGGCACATTAATAGGCAAGTTAGAAGCACAAATAAGGATGCTCCACCTGTGTCGCTCTGCATCCCAGCTAGGCCACGCCCTGGCCAGGGGTGAATCTTTGAACCAAGTGAAAGTGCTAATCCTCTCACTTCTGTCTTTGTTCAGACCTTACCTTCTCAACAAGGCTTATCCAGTATGTGCGCGCGCGCACACACACACACATTTCTTGTAGCGCCCATCAATTTCTAACATACCATTGATGAGCTTATGGATTATTTCTGCTGTTTCTTTCCCCCACCAATCTTACAGAACACAGGGATATTCTGCTATGTTACAGCGCAAGGGTCTAAAACAGCTCTGGACCATTCAAACTTTCATTTTATTTTATTTTTTCATTTATGTATTCAGTACAGGGTCTCACTATGCAGCTCAGACTCATAGTGATCCCCCTATTTTCAACCTCCCCAGCGCTGGGATTACAGGCCTGCACCACCACGCCCGGACTCATTCAAACTTCTATTGAACAAATGAATGGCAATCTGCCTCTTATGGTGTTGCGAAGCTTCAGGACGTTGAGTTTGCCAGCACATCAGGCCAGCACCAACAAGCGCTCAGATGTTATCAGTGACGATGTGGCCTTTGCTGTCCTGAAATGACCTTATAAAATTCCACCCTGTCCTGTCACAGTGTGGCTCAACTCTAACGCTAATTAAATCTTGCCCCCTTCACTCACTAAGGCTGTTAAAGTGAGCCCCCTAGGATTCCCATCTCCTTTGCCACGCTGAATCCCTCTGCCCTAGCTCTAGCCTGGCCTCTGGGAGACAGAGTCATTGAGTTGAATCAATTCATCCTTTGACTCTGAAGGAGCAGGATCTAGGGAACACCAGGATTACATCAGGGTTTCCTGCCCATGCAGTGGTGACTTTGAAATGCAGTTCATGGTTTGAATTAGTGATTCGCCACCAAGCTACACACTGGCATCACCATGAAAACTTTTTTTTTTTAAAGGTGATGGATGGAGCCAACCTCCAGAAATTTTTACACCTTGGTCTAGGGTAGGGCTGAAGATCAAAATTTTTCAAAATGACCTCAGGTGTCTGCAATGTGCAGTCATGGCAGAGAAGCTCTCTCCAGACAAACACAACGATAAGAAGATAGAGCAAATGCATAAAAGACTCAAGTGGAGAACTCAAATTCTGCACGTTCATTAGCAAAGCATTGGTGTTAACACGAGCCCCATTGAACTGTTTCTGATGATAAAATTCTGTAAGTGTAGCTTCCCTTTCTGGATCCATGAAAGGCATAGGTGTCTGAAGAGGAGAGAGGGGCTAGAGCAGCCCTGGCCTAGGTCACCCATGCTTTGTCCGTCCGCTGGTGGCAGCAGGTACCTGGGACATGCTTCTTTCATGCCAGAGCTTTAGACAGTCCCCACTTCAGAGGCATGATGTGGGGCTCGCCGACTTGGGGCCCTGGGCTTCAGCTGCGTTCCCTCCTGCCAGAGTGGAGCCCGGCCTCTCAGCCTTGAGTACCAAGGCTGTGACTGACTCCAGTTGTGCTGTTTACTGTCTGGAATTTAAGTGTTCCTGTGACTCCTGATTTGAAGACAGACAAAAATGAGGTAGCAAAAGAGACTCAGCAGTGGATCCTGCTTTCCAATCTTTGGATGACTGAGAAGATCTTGACCTTCCTGGAATGGTCCTTGGTTCTTCTCTATTTGGTATCCCTTGACCATGAAAGCCAGACCTCTCTATAATAAACCTGAGCCAGAACGAAGGAAGCACCTAGAGATGATGTCTGCAGTAGACATCAGTGTAGTGATGCAGTTACAGGGGATTGGGCTCATGTCTGTCCCCAGGTCGATCACCTTGGTATATGCCTGTACTCACATTATCTTACTCATCTTAACAGCTCTTCAAGACAGTAGGATGCAGTAATGCACTGGAGAATGGACCCAGGGCTTCCGCACTGAGCTATATCCCCATCTCTGATAACAGTCTCACTAAATTGCCCAGTCTGGGTCTCACACTTGAGTTCCTCCTGCCTTAGCATCCCAGGTGCTGAGATTATAAGCATGCACCATCATGCCTGGCTTGTACACACATCTTCTACACCCTTCCCAGCCAGAAAGTCCTCTGTTCAGGGACATAGAGTTTCAAATCCAGTGCCATCCACTTTGAATACCTGTTTTTGTCAAATCTCTTAATACCTTGCACTGTTTTCAAAATATGTTATTTGGGGCCAGCCAAATAGCTCAGTGAATTAAAGTGCCTGCACGCAGGCGCAGGGGCCAGGGGTTCGATCCCTAGGCCTGTTGTGCTGGCCCCACCCCCTAGGCATGCTGAGATGACAATTGAGACTGGGTGTGATGGCGCGCCTGCAATCTCAGCCCTTGGGAGGCTGTAAACAGGGAGATCACTATGAGTCCAATCTAATACTCTGTAGGCCCTTCCCTAAAATTAAAAAATGAAATATATAAGCATATATATACATATATATATAATTTAACTTTTACAGCTGAGTTGTTATGTTTGTCTCCACTTGTTTTTATTTCCTTTTTCTTAAACCTAGAATCTAAATTTAGAGCTCAAGTCCTTGTTGTGATATTTAAGTAAAAATATTGATGTGACTTTTTATGTCAATTCTTCTAATGAATTTTTAATCATATACTTTAATCAGTTGGTCTCAAGGATACAACTATCCGGCAAATCGATGCTGGGGCTTGAAATGATAAAAGTTTACAGTTTCTATTATTAGTGCACATCTAGGTTTTCAACATAATATAATAACATTGTGGCCAATGAGGCAAGACTTAAATCTCTGAAATTAAAGAGGGCAAAAGAAATGGCTTCACTGTGGTATGAAAAACTTAACTGACTAGATTTCTTTTTTCAGGGAATATAGATGAAGTATCCCTAACCTAAAAAAATCAGAAGCTTTGTAAGTACTATACAAGGAAATTCCACATCATCTGTTCACATGCAACACCTTGTAGTCAAAACACAGATGCACCAAAAATGTGTAAAATTGCCTTCAGGCTGCATGGATGAGGTGGACATGAAACACTTCGTATTTAGACTTGGATCCCATCCCCAAGTTACCTCACTGAGCATATACCAATTATCCAAAATATTTTCTAAAATCTGAACTCTAAAACACTTCTGGTTCCAAGCATATGGAATAAGGGATATTCACCCTATATTTCCCAAATACAGAAAAGAATACAGTGACATGATAAACAACTATAAACTACTCCCAACTCGATCAAAGCTGGGGTTTGTGCTTCATTGGCTTTAGAAATTATTTGAAGCATAAAAGCCATGGCAAATAATACTAAAGCCACTTGCACAGCCTTCCCCAGTCTCACTCTGTTCTGTGGAGAAAGAAGCACTAATGTATGGTGAGCCATTCTCCAACAGGAAGACAAACGAGGGAAAATCTGGAAGTTGGTGTGCTACCGGTGTCCATGGAGTAAATGCTCCCATCCCACCAGAGCCCAAGGCCCTAACAGAACACGGCTGAAGATTAGAAAATATGGACAGAAGTGCTTCAGCAAACTCCACCATCCAGCTCAGGACTGTGCTATCCCATAGCTATCAAGTTCCTGTTATTTGTTTGGGTTTTTTTTTCCCCTTACTATATATGTATTTATTTAAAATATGCAACAGGGGCTGGCAAGATAGCTCAACAGACTCAAGCACCACCTTAGGCAAGTTTAGGCAAATGTAGGACCGTGGTTCAATCCCCCACACCACATGCTGCGCCAGCCCCACCCCCAGGGCGCGCTGAGCCAGCCAGAGTCTGGCAGTCGCGGCGCATGCCTGTAATCCCAGCGCTGGGGAGGCTGAAAGCGGGAGGATCACAAGTCCAGGCTGTGTAGTGAGACCCTGCAACAACCAAATACATTGAAAATAATAATTTAAAAAATACATATGCAGCATGTTTTTCTTTACTTCAAATGGAGCATAGATGGTGTCAGCCTCTACAGACTTGGTCTTCCCTCAACATTGTTTCTGAGATTTAAACTATGGTTTTGTAACTAATGTGTACCATTTCCACGGAGGAATCTGTCACTTTGTGTCTTGCCCTTTGCCATCCATGGGAATGTCTTTT